AAACAACAAATTTATTATCTCACAATTTCTGTGGGTCATAGTCGGGGTATAGTGTAACAGGATTCTCTGTTCAGGATCTCACCATGATGAAATCAAGGTGTTCTTCATCTGAGGCTCAGGGTCTTCTTCCTAGATCACATGGTTGTTAGCAGAATTCATTATCTTGCATTTAGTTGTAGGACTGAGGTCCTGTTTCTTTGCTGGGTGTCAGCTAAGGCCTGATCTCAGCTCCCAGAAGTTGTCCACATTCCTTACTACATACCTCTATCCATCTTAAAGCCAGCAATGGCATGTTGAACCCTTCTTGCGCTTCAAATTTCTGATTTCCTCTTCTGCAACCAGCCTGGAAAACTCTTTGCTTTTAAAGGGCTCGTGTGATTAGGTCAGGCCCACCTGGATAATCTCCCTGTTTTTAGGTCAACTGAAATAGCCTAATCACTATAGTAGATATATCAAATTTATAGTAGCAGGGATTATGCAGGATGAGTACAGCAGGGGGTGGGAAATCTTGGGGGCCATTTTAGAATTCTGCCTACTACAACTATCCTAGAGAGATTGTGACAAACACGAGGTTCCTCTACTCTGCTATTCTATCCAACTCTATCATGACTTTAACTGTCTTTTTGATATACATTTAACTCTAACATCTCTATTTTATTTTATTATTTATTTATTTTTTTGAGACAGAGTCTCATTTTGTTGCCCAGGCTAGAGTGAGTGCCGTGGTGTCAACCTAGCTCACAGCAACCTAAACTCCTGGGCTCAAGCAATCCTCCTGCCTCAGCCTCCCAAGTAGCTGGGACTACAGGCATGTGCCACCATGCCCGGCTAATTTTTTCTATATATGTTAGTTGGCCAATTAATTTCTTTCTATTTATAGTAGAGACAGGGTCTTGCTCTTGCTCAGGCTGGTTTTGAACTCCTGACCTTGAGCAATCCGCCCGCCTCCGCCTCCCAGAGAGCTAGGATTACAGGCGTGACCCACCGCACCGCACCCGGCCACATCTCTATTTTATAAGTGCACATTTAAGCATAATAAAAACTGGCCTTGAAGAATTTGCTTATCTTTAGGGGGAACATAGGGATTCTTCTGTTTGTAAAGAAAAAGATAAAAAAAAAAAAGAATCTTACATTTCAAAAAGCCTGGTTAGTGTATGTCAATACATTTGTTCATTAAGTGTAATATAATCTAATGAGATAATAAGCAATATATTCAATTTAGATGTTTATATTTCAAAATGAAGATTAAAACCAGATTATCTAGATACATATAATCAAACATAAGATTTAGAAAAGATTAATACAATATAATGCATATATTTGCCATAAATTTGGCAATGTTATATCCTCTATATATGAAGTACTTAGACAAATAGATAAGCAGAACACAAGACTCTATAGATAAATTAGAAAAGGACATACCCAGATTTTTTTTTTTTTTTGAGACAGTCTTGCTGTTGCTAGGGCTTCAGTGCTGTAGTGTCAGCCTAGCTCACAGCAACCTCAAACTCCTGGGCTCAAGTAATCCTCCTGCCTCAGCCTCCAAGTAGCTGGGACTATAGGTGTGTGCCACCATGCCTGGCTAATTTTTTCTGTTTTTTGTTGGCCAGTTAATTTCTTTCTATTTTTAGTAAAGCTAGGGTATCGCTCTTGCTGAGGCTGGTCTTGAACTCTTGACCTCATGGGATCCTCCAGCCTGAGCCTTCCATAGTGTTAGAATTACAGGCGTGAGCCACCACACCCAGCCCCAGATATTTGAAATGACTAAAAATAAAGTTGGACCTCAATGAACTTTTATTCAGTGTATATAGTATGTGTGTGAGGTGCTGGCATATGGCAAGTGCAGGGCTGCTATTCAGTAAAAGGCACTGTTAGGGATGTTTGGGCCCCTATCCACTCTTATTGGCTGGTGCTTATTATCTGATTGTTTGGTGCTTCTAATGGTTGTTAACTATTTTGATTAACAGTGAATGTAATTTTCAGTACTAGTATTTCCATTTTATTTTTTAATTGACACATAATTGTACTTATTTACAAGGTACACAGTGATGTTTTGATATATACAATGTATAGTGATTAGACAGGGGTAATTAGCATATCCACCACCTCAAACATTTCTCATTTGTGTTGTAAACATTCAATATTCTCTCTTCTAGCTATTTGAAAATACATATTAACAACTAATCATCCTGTAGTGCTACAAAACATTAGAACTTATTTCTCCTACTAGCTGCTCCATTGTGTGTGTGTGTGTATGTGTGTGTGTGTTTTCTTTCTTTTTTTTGGAGACAGGGTCTCACTCTGTCACTTGGGCTAGAGTGCAGTGGCTATCATCATGGCTCACTGCAACCTCAAAGTCCTGGGCTCAAGAGATCCTTCTGCCTCAGTCTCCTGAGTAGCTGGGACTACAGGTGCACGCCACCATACCCAGCTAATTTTTTTATTTTTTGGAGGGACAGTCTTGCTCAGGCTGGTTTCAAACTTCTAACCTCCAGTGATCCTCCCACTTTGGCATCCCAAAGTGCTAGGGTTACAGGTATGAGCCACTGTGCCTGGCCTTGTTTTTAATATAATTTTCAATTCTTTGCCAAAAGTCTCAGTTTTTCTTTTATTTTGAGAAGTTTGTCTTTGAAACCTTCAGTACCTGGAAGTCCTGCAGATCTGCTCAAATGAAAGCCTCTGCTGGTGTTCACTCCTGTCTTTGTGTGGCTACTTTTTATTGTGTGCCCTACAATGTACTTACAAACTTGTTTATAGATTTGAGGCCTACATATTAGCTTTCTACTGCTGTGTAACTATACCACTGCAAACTTAGTGTCTTAAAACACTATATATTATTTTACAGATTCTGTGGGTCAGGAGTCCAAGCACAGCTTAGCTGACTCCTGTTTCGTGGTCTCATGATGCTGCAATCAAGGTATTAGCTGGAACTGTGCCTTCAGCTGAAGCTCCACTGGGACAAGATTCACTTCTAAAATCACATGGTTGTTGGCAACATTCAGTTCCTTGCAGAATACTAGAACAAGGACCTGTTTTGTTTCTTGCCAATTATTGGCTAGAGGCCACTCTTAGTTGCATGCCATGTGGCCCTCTCCAAAGGCTAGTTCACAACATGGCAGCTTACTTCTTCAAAATCAGTAACGGAGTTTCTTAACAAGATGGACATTAGAATTTGATGTAGTCATGTATACATGGGATCATGTATATCCCCCATCATATTCATGGTATTCTAATGATTAGAAGCAAGTCATAGGAATCCCTTCCCACAAAAAGAATACCAGAGGACAGGAGTTATAAGAACCACCATAGAGTCTGTCTCCATACTTAGGATATTAATTTCCTCCTGAGAAGAAAATTTAGATTTGTTTCTGCTAGGCACCTGGGAGCTCTAAAAATCTTAGACAACTTCAATCCAGTTTTAGAGACTGAGAGTATTCAAAGCTAAGCTGCCATCCCATTGAAGGCCTATTTACTTCTGGATCATTCTTACTCCCAATGGGCAGCCTTTTGGTATCCTCACTCAAATTAAAGGAAAGGTTTACCAGTACAGGCCCCATACTCCAATGCCTCTTCTCCCTGTTCCCATGAGGTTATCCACATAGCCATTCAGCATCTCAGCCACCATTCACAGAATTGGCCAACACAAAGGAAAACAGCTTACCTACCAATATTTCTGTGCTTTCTTAGGAATTCTTCATTGTTGCCAGCTCTCTGATGTCTTCAGACTATTTTTAAGTTTTGTTCAGCTGTCAGCTTTTCTAGACATTCTCAGCAGATCTAGTCCAAATTACTTGGTCTACCCTTACTGTAAATAAAAGTCTTTTTTTACTTCCATAATTAATAATTTGTTACTAGCCTCAACATGCAAATAATAATCTATAAGAGATGTGTTTTAACATAATTTAACCTATTAAAGCAAAACAAAAATTTACTTTTTCAACTTAAAAAAATAGATGAGAGAGTACCAATTTTTCCCCATATATTGAATATTTCTATTTCTGGAGCTTTCCATAATCTGGAAAAGAAAATCCTATTATTAATTATTGAATATTTAAGGCTGAAACATAATCTAGAAATTATCATGGATTTATAAGACTTTTTAAATCAGTTTATATTTTGCTAATATCCCCATGTGAAACAGATGCTTAATGTTGAGTATTCCTACAAATTATATATAGTACTATATTGCTCAAGATTGCACTGCCAAATAAAAACACATTAATTAAACTAGTATACTGTAGTTGTCTATGATGCTATGATAGAAATTTAAAATATCTGAAGGACAATATGTATTTTAAAAGTCTGAAATTGATGAAAATTTGATAGATACTGCATCCCTATCTTTCAAACACACTGATTTGGAAGGACATAATGTCCTTCTAAATTATACAGTTGGGGGGCATTTATTCTTGTGTGAATAAAACATCCAGCTTATTTTTAAGATCTGTAACTACTGGACATGGTTTTGAAATAAATATCTAAGAGAATAAAATATGACTACTCTCTTTAGTAATAAATTTAAAAATATAAATTACCTATCAACAACCTTTAACAGAGACCACTAGTTGCACCAACCTCAGTTCTGTACTCTTTCTCCCCCAACTTTTCCTGGGCATATGACCACAAGGAATGAAAGCTATATTTTCCACGCTTGTTTGTTGTTTACAAGTGGGGCATTATGACTAAGTTTTGGCCAATAACATTCTGAAAAAGAAATGTTGAGTACAACTTCTGGGAAATTTCCTTAGACAGAGGGATGTAAGCTTCTCACTGCCCTCCTTGCTGGCCAGAATGTTACTCTAAGGGCTGGACCTTGATCAGTAACCTTGGATCATGGGTTGGAAACCAAGTGATGAGGTTAGTATGAGCAACACAGCAGCCTTAAAATACTTACCTCTGAAATTCTTTTAAGTGAGAGGGAAAAAAATCACTTTTTGTAAAAGCCGCTGGTATTTGAAGTTTAATTTTATGCTGCTGAACCTAATCTTAACTGATACACATTTCAATTGTTGGCATATCAGTCCTTTATTAGAAATTGTAAATGAGAAATTATTTCAACACCTGAGGACCACACTACAATAGAAGATTCCATAGGCTCAAGATTTTGAGACATTCTGGAAAGAGTTTTCTGTAAGGTATATCCTTTCCGTGGCATGGCAATATCATTCTTCTTTAAAAAGGTCACTGGACAGACATCATTTCCACCATCACCTATATAAACAATTTGTGTATAATTCACTCCCTGTTGTAACTGTTTATCTACAAATTCTACCAAAACTACATTTTTGCAAAGATTCTTTGGGCATCTGTTGCAAGAATGAGCATGATAATTTTCCACAGCGAGATGACCATTGCTATCAAAAGCTGCTGGGTTTGTAAACACTTTATCAAACACGTCATGAAAATTGGCAGCTTCTAAAACCCAATCTATAAAGACTGAATTTGAATCTGAAATAATGATACAGTCAAATTTATCCTTAGTCTTTCTTATAAAGTTGAAAAGTTCCACCATCCCTGGAGTAAAAGGCATTGATGTCACTGCTCTTTTCATTTCATCTTCTCTTACACCTTTATCGCCCAAATACTTAAAGACTCTGCCCATAAATTCTGTCCAAAATCCTTTTTGATAAGAATCTTTGAGTTCAATAGGAAGCTTTCTGCCTGGAGCACACTGTACAATCCAAGTGTCACTATTGTCATCTATGATTGTATTGTCAAAGTCAAAAACCAGCAAAATTTTCATGGTTCCAGAAGTAGATTTGGGTTACCCTGAAAAAGAAGAAATATTATTCCCTACACATACTCTGTTTACATATGTAGCTATTATACTTATTTAATAAATACAACTAAATGTTAATATGCTAAAACAGGGAATATAGACAAGTGATTAAGTATTTTAAAACCATCACCTAAGCACTTTTTCCTAAGAAGCAAAGTTCATATTTGAGTATTTTAAGTGTATGGAAAACAAAATATATAAAAAAGAAACTCATAGTCTCATTGTGTTCCTGTGCAGATGCTTTTTTTTTTTTTGAGACAGAGTCTCCCTCTGTTGCGCCTGGTAGAGTGCACTGTTGTCACCCTAGCTCACTGCAACCTCAAACTCCTGAGCTTAAGCATTCCTCCTGCCCCAGCTTCCCAAAAGTAGCTGGGACTATAGGCATGTACCACCACACCCAGTTAATTTTTTCTATTTTTAGTAGAGATGGGATCTTGCTCTTGCTCAGGCTGGTCTGAACTCCTGACCTCAAGTGATCCTCCTGCCTTGGTCTCCTAGAATGCTAGGATTATAGGAGTGAGCCACCGTGCCCAGTTTGGGATGATTCTTATAAAAGTTAAAATAAAAAAAAAAAAAAAGAAAAGAAAAATGCAGGTTAATCTTTCTTACTATCACTAAATTATCAATCATAGCCATACTTATTAGATTAAAATATTTATATTAATCCTCTTATTAATAAGTCATATATAATATAGATTCCCTGTGTACTAACCAAAATTCTAAACAAATTTACCATGAAACGTTGTAAAATGTAAAACAATTTTTAAAAAATGGTGTTTATCTTGAAATCAATTTCTTTTTTTTTTTTTTTGAGACAGAGTCTCACTTTGTTGCCCAGGCTAGAGTGAGTGCCGTGGCGTCAGCCTGGCTCACAGCAACCTCAATCTCCTGGGCTCAGTGATCCTACTGCCTCAGCCTCCCGAGTAGCTGGGACTACAGGCATGTGCCACCATGCCCGGCTAATTTTTTGTATATATATTTTTAGTTGGTCAATTAATTTCTTTCTATTTTTGGTAGAGACGGGGTCTCGCTCAGGCTGGTTTCGAACTCCTGACCTTGAGCGATCCGCCCGCCTCGGCCTCCCAAAGTGCTAGGATTACAGGTGTGAGCCACCGCGCCCGGCCTTGAAATCCATTTCTAAATGCTAATGTTATAACTAAATGATTGCTTGATGCTGTATTTAAAATTCTAAACAAATTATAAACTGGCTCAAGTTTGACAAATAAAAAAATTTCTAAACAAATTACCTGAGAACTGGAAATCAATTTAATTCTCACAAACTAGAAATAATTTTTGTTAATGGTTTTCACATGTTATTTATATCCGTTCTAGATAGTTTAGCTCTCGGGTGCCAAATAATCTGAATTCAACTAAGTAATTATAATACTTATGGTATGACAATTACTTAACACTGTTTTCATTAGAAGATAATGAATGGTCATTAATTATAATCTCAAGAGAAAAAGAAAGAATAAGCTGGTCAACAGATGGTATGGATGAAAATTATCATGAAAAAATAATTATTCAGAATACCCAGGGAAATCTATAATTAGTGTATATAATCAAAACATAAATAAAAAGAATAACTAACATTTTTGAGAGATCACTATATGCCAGGCACTGACCTAAAAACTTTATAGTATTATTTTATTTAACTGTCACAACCCTATTAAGTAGGAATTATTTTTATCCTTACTTAAAGATATATAAATTGTAGCTTAAAGTGCTTAAGTATTATTAGTTAAGTGGCGGAGCTGGAGTTTTGGACTCAGGTTGGTTTGATTTCAAAGTTCATGCTTTTAAGCACCAAACTCCAGTACCTAAGAAATAGATTATTTAAAGATTATTCATCAGTTTAAAAATAAAATACTGGGGGCTAAGACTTGTGGCTCCCACCTGTATTCCCAGCACTTTGGGAGGTGAAGGCAGGAAGATCACTCCAGGCCAAAACTTCCAGATGAGGCAGGGCAACATGGTGAGACCCCATGGTGAGACCAAAAACAACAACAACAAAAGCTGTGCATTGTGGTGCACACCTGTAGTCCTACCTAACAAAGAGGCTGAGGTAGGAGGCTTGCTTGAGCCCAGGAGGGTTTGAGGCTGCAGTGAGCTATGATCACACCACTGCACTCCAGCCTCCAGTAAGATCCTCTCTCTAAAATAAAAATAATAATAAGATAAAATAAAATAAAATACTAAGTAGGTCACTTTGGAAAAAAAGATGTTTAATTACATAAAAATATTCATTAGCCTCAAAGTACACACAACCCATAACACATCTGTGATCTACTTTATAAAGATTCAGAAGTTTTAGGCCGGGCGGTGGCTCACACCTGTAATCCTAGCACTCTGGGAGGCCGAGGTGGGTGGATTGCTTGAGCTCAGGAGTTCGAAACCAGCCTGAGAGAGACCCGTCTCTATTATAAATAGAAATTAATTGGACAACTAATATATATAGAAAAAATTAGCGGGGCGTGGTGGCGCATGCCTGTAGTCTCAGCTACTCGGGAGGCTGAGGCAGAAGGATTGCCTGAGCCCAGGAGTTTGAGGTTGCTGTGAGCTAGGCTGATGCCACGGCACTCACTCTAGCCTAGGCAACAAAGTGAGACTCTGTCTCAAAAAATAAATAAAATAAACAAATAAAAATAGAGATTCTGAAATTTTAGCAAGAAATACTAAAAAGAAAAGAACCCCACCAATAAGAGATCAATCAAAAATGGAAAACATGCCATTTAACCACAAGTATTCTCCAGTTTATAACAACAGATACCTAGTAGTGAAGACAGAATAGAGCTCTTCATTCACTTAAGAGTAATTATTCTGTCTCTCAATTTAGAATATCTAGAGAATAACTAATTTAGTTCTCTGGGTCCTTGTAGCTCTAAATGACTAATCCAGGTGTCTCTGATTGGCTCCCAGAAATTTAAATGCGTAATTCACTTTCCCATAGAAACAATGTAATAAATAACAATAAGGCATAATTGTTATCACATTATTACTAGGCATATTTTAAATTAAACATGCTTTTTGAGCATTCTGAATTTATAAGTAAAAAAAATTGTTTTCAAAATGTAGCTTGTTGCTTGAAAACTGCCTCAAGCCTAGATTTAATTAGCCACAAATTATTGAAATTCCTGAACTATTAGCCTCAAAATAGAATGTAACCGAAGGTAACATAGTTTCACTGCTAATATAACAGCGCACTTTTCATAATTTCATATTTTTCTATTAGTCTTTTCTCACCACTCAACATAAACCTTTATTAAAAATACTTACCCAACTTAGTACTTCTAAGACAATTAATCTTACTTCAGCATAGGACTTAGGTCATGATAATCTTCAGTTTCAAACGCCAGCCAGTTGTTTTAAAACATTATTCCTATTCTACATACATGAAACAAAGTCTTCTGGTTTGGAGCAAAAGAATGGAAACTTCTTAACTCCTAAAATTAAAAAAAGTATTTCAAGAGCTTTAAATTTTGTGTTTTCTAATTATGTTGTTTTTTCTTCTATCAGAAAAGCATCTATTGGCAATGGGAGGAGAAAAATTTTGGTTAAATGAGAAAATCATAAATATAAAACAGGGAATAGTGTGTGAAAATCAGTATTTACGCAGTGGATAAAATCACAAGTGTTAAGCTGACTGAGATTTCCAGATTTTATTATTTCTTTTTTTTTTTTTTGAGACAGAGTCTCGCTCTGTTGCCTAGGCTAGAGTGAGTGCCATGGCGTCAGCCTAGCTCACAGCAACCTCAATCTCCTGGCTCAAGCAATCCTTCTGCCTCAGCCTCCCAAGTAGCTGGGACTACAGGCATGCGCCACCATGCCCGGCTAATTTTTTATATATATATTAGTTAGCCAATTAATTTCTTTCTATTTATAGTAGAGACGGGGTCTCGCTCTTGCTCAGGCTGGTTTCGAACTCCTGACCTCGAGTAATCTGCCCGCCTCGGCCTCCCAGAGAGCTAGGATTACAGGCGTGAGCCACCCTGCCCGCCTCGGCCTCCCAGAGAGCTAGGATTACAGGCGTGAGCCACCACGCCCGGCCATATTATTTCTTTTTACTTGTTGAATAATAGAGGAACATTATATTCTTTTGTCAATAAACATTCAGAGATTTAGTGCTGTACTTGAAATAAAAATGTTTTGAAAAAATTAAGGATGTGCACAAAGATTTAAAGAATATGAATCTATTTTGAAACCAATTTGTTAAAATTCCAAAAACAGTTATTCTCTTGGAAAGCACAAGCAGTGTCTACTTGGTATGTATGCAATGTTTCCAGAGTATAACAATAACCTATCTACATTACACAATAATGAAAACTAGAAACTACATAGATATCCAAAACTTGGGGATTGGTTAAATATGGTAGGTATGTGAAAGCTATATAATAGAATATTTATTCGGCCAGTAAAAGCTAAGATGTTCAGTTCAAATTAAACAAACAAGTGACAAAATAGTATGTATAGTATAATCCCATTTTTGTTTTAAAAAAAACTTTGGGAGGCTGAGGTGGGAGAATTGCTTGAGGCCAGGAATTTGAGACCAGCCCGAGCAAGAGACACCACCACCCCTGCCTTACAAAGAAAATAGAAAAATTAGCGAGGCATGCTAGCATGTGCCTGTAGTCCCAAATACTGTGGAAGCTGAAGCAGGATTGTTAGAACCTAGGAGTTTGAGGTTTCAGTGAGCTGTGATGACAGCACTGCACTCAGCCCAGATGACAGATCAAAGACTTTGTCTCAAAAAAAAAAAAGAAAATTTATGTGTACAGTGGTCATGGGTGGTTCAATTGTAGTTCATACTTTTCCTACATTGATTTTGTAATAAAACATTTTTCTTCTAAGAATAATTTAAACTGTTTTATATCAGAGTACATATGTCATACCTTCTAAAATTCACAACAAAGAAAAAAAGGATGGGGGTTATAAAAGAACAAATAACTCTAGATTGACTTGGTTATAATGGTCCACAGCTTAGAGAGATAAAACCTGGAGCTTGAAGTCAAAGGACATCTGACCATCATGTCAAATTGGCAAATCACTGACATCAAACTGTATGAGATTCAATACTTTTTGTAACTAATTTAGCTAAAATTCCATAGAATTTTTATTGTTCCAGAGACACATTCTCCACAGATCTCTAGCAGTTCTGCATGCCTTATAAGCAAGGCACTCATTTCCCTTTGCTCTGGAGTATTGTTTCAGATGTCCATATAGCGAACAGACTTGAAAGGCATGCTTACTGTGCAAAATAAACATTTGGGTTCCCTTGACCCGGCGAGGTGGCTCACACCTTTAATCCTAGCACTCTGGGAGGCCGAGGCAGGAGAAAAGCTTGAGGTCAGGAGTTCGAGACCAGCCGGAGCAAAAGCGAGACCCTGTCTCTACTAAAAACAGAAAAATTAGCCGGGCATGGTGGCGCATGTCTGTAGTTCCAGCACTTGGCAGACTGAGGCAGGAGGATTGCTTGAGCCCAGGACTCTGAGGTTGCTGTGAGCTAGGTTGATGCCATGGCACTCCAGCCCAGGTGACTCCATCTCAAAAAAAAAAAAAAAAAAGTTGTTCCCTAAGCTCAGAGTTCCTGTCCTGTAATGCAATACATTCCACATCCAGGCAGGTGATTTCTGGACCACTTTGCATCATCCTGTGGGAACTGAGGCTTGGGGGAACTGAGGAAAATTGCTGATATTCTGGCTACTATTGTTAGTAACTCATTTCTGAGAGTAGAATCTTGTGTATTCTACAAAACTATGGCAGGCTAAGTTGTTAGCCAGCAATAGGGTAAAAGGGTATTGTTAGCCAGCAATAGGGTGAAATCTCTGATCCTTTCCAGTTCTTATACTTTTTAAACTATGCTTCCAAAAAGCCACCAGTATTGCATGTACACAAACTAATTATTTACAAATATTTTAGCAATTTTCCCACACTTACCAGCATTATTATGTGGAATATCTGATAGTAAAGCTGAAGACAAATAGCACAACTATGTGTTAGAACTTTCATTATTGAAAATGTTATGTCCTTTTCACTTTGAGCAACTGCAATTCCGTGTCTAATGCGGACACGACGGAGCCAACTTGTTAGTAATGAAATCATTCATACATCAATGTGTTAGAAAATGATCTTGAAGCCAAGCGCACATCTACCCAACAGATTTTTGTGTCTACAGAGGTCTGACTGGTCCCCAAAACACTTCAACTTACAATAACGTATTTACCAAGCAATTTAAAATTAATTAAAGGTCTTAACATCAATGTTCTAAGGTCCTAACCCAAGTTTTAACATTCCTATTTTTAAAAAGAGTAGCCCCATCTAGCCTTAACCATGTCTCAGAAACCAAAGGATGTAAAAATAGCTTTTATGTTAATTAATCCCCGGGCTTCTATAGTTAAGGGAGGACTTTGCTCTTCACATTCCACCCGCGAGGAGATCTGTGGCCGCACACACCAAGCCTAGGCCTCGCGCTCTCACACACCTGCCTGGTCCACCCCGCAAGGTAGGCGTCTGGACTCAGCCGGGGGTCGTTCCCCTTGAGGCGCGCGCCAGGTGGGTATGGGAGTACCAGGCAGGGCTGTGCCCCAAGGTCTCCTCACTGACTCTGGCTAGGCATCTACGCAGCCACCGGCACCTAGGACCCTCGACCTCTCCCTGGCGCCTGCCGGAGAAGGCCGCCCCACTCACACGCCCGGCTTCCGGGTGCAGGCGCAGCCGCTGTTCTCTAGCGCCCCTGCCGACTGCAGCGCGTTCCCCGTTCCTCGGCGACGGCTGGCGTCACTTCCGGCGGCGTTGCTAAGCGACCGCGTGGCGGAGAAACACTCCGCAGATAGGAGTCGGGGCATTTGGCGCCGCGGTCGCCTTTCGAGGTCTGGGAGCGGCATGGGCACCTCGTCACAGATGCTGGCGCGGTTTGGCCGGCGCCGCTATGGACGGGCGAAGGAAAACACTGGTGAGCTAAACTGACCCATCTTGGGACAGGGATTGGTTTTGGCCCCCAGGCATAGGGTGAGAGACGAGGGTCCAAGTGAGGGCTTTGGTTGCCTTTTGAAATGGGCGCCACCAAGTTGAAGGCATCCTGAGTAATAAGCATCCATAGATGCTTATCTTTGGGCTCTGTGGAAGTTATACCGTTTTGCCCTCAGATGAATGGGTGGAAAAGAAAAAGGAGAAGTGGGGGTGGGTGGGAGAAAATTTACAGAAATAGGAGTGGAGAAATGATAGGAAATCAGAGACCACGGCGGCTGGTCAGATCCTAAAACTGCGCGGTTGCAGCTCCAAGAGTCTGGAGTTTGCTTCCCTCACGCTTGAGCTTTGTTAATCACTGATTGTTGGAGTAACTACTGGTAATATCAATGACCTCTTCAGAGTCTTGGCTGTGCTGCAAAACCTAAAGTGGTCTTTACTAAAGTCTCTGAAGGAAGTATCTAAATTTCCTTTCCTCTCCTTTCCTTTCCTTTTCCTTCTCCTCTAAAATGAAGGTAAAGTTTGATTTTACAGAGTGTAAAAAAATAAAGTTTCATAAAGTATTGTAATTCAGAAGACCCGTTATAAAAATTTGATTTTGGAATAGAAATAGGCTTCCAAAGAACCCTTTTCAATTCCAACTACGACAGTTTCTTAAATCTGTAAATTACCACTTACTGTTGTCATGGTGACAACTAGAACCTTGGGAATTTGAACTATCTTTAGGTCACTCCCTGCGCTTCTGTAGCAATAGCGCCCCTTGCGCCAGATGCAGAGTGATAGCCTCCCATTCTCTCACCACTGGTGGGACACCAAAGGACACTACCGTGTTTCCCCAAAAGAAGACCTACCTATAAATAAGCCCTAGCAGGACTTCTAAGCATTTGCGCAATATAAGCCCTACCCAGAAAATAAGACCTAGTTATGGGCGTGGCTACGCAGCGCATCTGCACAACCCATGCATTTCCTTGCAGAGCCGGAAAGATGAGCAGCCCTTCTCATCCGCCCCATGAGAGCTTTGTTGCTCAACATGAGAGATTGGGGCCAATGGTTCTAAAGGAAATAGAGTCGTAAGAAATTCAGGATGGAATTCCCGGATGGGAGAGTTATGATGATATTCCAGAAGAAGATGACTTAACTATATTTGAACAAATGTAGATTGTTGTACCGTACTTAAAAAATATAACACATACCCTGAAAATAAGCCCTAGGGTGTCTTCTTGAGGAAAAATAAATATAAGACCCTGTCTTATTTTCAGGGAAACACAGTATTTGTGCAGTGAAGGCTTTATGAAGTAGCCCCAGTGAGTCTTGTCATGTAAAAGGAGAGTGGGCCGGAAGCAGTGACTCACGCTGGTAATTCTAGCACTCTGGTAGGCTGAGGTGAGAGGATTGCTTGAGATCAGGAGTTCTAGACCAGTTCTGAGCAAGAGTGAGACCCATCTCTGCTAAAAATAGAAGAACTAGCCCAGTGTCGTGGCACCCACCTGTAGTCCCAGAGACCTGGGGAGCTGAGGCAGGAGGATCGCTTGAGCCCAGGAGTTTGAGGTTGCAGTAAACTATGATCAGGCTACTGCACTCTACCTGGGGCAAGATTATCGTCTCAAAAAAAAAAAAAAAAAAAAAAGAGGGAGAGAGAACGAGCCTGTACCAATATGGCAAATATTGAAAGTGCATAATTATTCTCACATACTCACTTTCCTATATATGCAGTACAGCTGAATCTTGATAAAAACAGCAAGGTTTTTGGCATTTTAACTTGCCCTAGTCCCTTACTTTTCTCCTTGTCCCATGGTAGCCTAGAAAACCACAGTAATTGCAGTGAAAACTAGTGACTTAGCAACTTGTGGAGGGGCAGAACAGAGTTTGGCCCCCTCCAAAACTCATTTCCCGTATAACTGTTATTTGAAGTCTGACAGTTCCTTGGAACATCTCACTTGTAAGGCTTTTTGTTATTTGATTTGGTTTAGAGCACACCAGGTACATTTGCCAGAATGATCAGTGGCAATTGTTAACTTCACAGCTGCCTCAGGCAGTGCTCTGGTTTAAATGTGACTCCCCCAAAAGCAGATTGGAACCTTAATCCCCAAGGTAACAATGTTGGGAGGTGGAGACTAATGAGAGATGATTAGGCCACCTGGGCAGGAGTGGATTAGTGCCATTATCTTAGGAGTGGGTTCCTTATAAAAGGGCAGGTTCAACTGGCTTTCACTCTCTGTTGCCTACTCTTTGCCCTTCTGCCATGTAATGCCTTCAATCATATTATGACACAGCAAGAAGACCCTTGCCACATGCTGGCACCATGATATTGAACTCCCCAGCCTCCATAAACATGAGCCAATAAATGTCTGTTTGTTATAAATTACCCAGTCTCAGATATTCTGTTATAGCAGCAGAGACTACAGACTAAGACAAGCAGTGATAACAGTTGGGGGCAAACAACAAGCTGACCAAAAAACTTGAAAGGAATAGCTAGGAAATGATATGTCTGTCCATAGGGGACTTTGGAAAGCTCCTGACTTTTTCCTGGGGATCAAGAAGGCCAAATGTATGCATAGAGTTATGTACATCTCCAGGAAAGACCTAAAAATGCCTTAAGCTCTCAACTCTGACTGACCTTGAAGCTTTGTGTAGGAAAAAAGTAAAGGCTAAGATGGACTTGTAAATTACTTTCCTGAGCATTGAAGGCATGCCTCAATACTCACAGAGAGCCCTTTGGCAAAGACTGGTGGACTTATTAGTTCCAGTCATTTAAGGAAATTTCTCTCTAATCATTAGCTGGCTACTAAGCTACCCAATCAGAGATTCCAGTGGCCACATATGGCAAAGAATATAGACTTTACAGAATTAGTTCAGAAAAGTCACCAAACAAACAGCAACAAACTTTGAGTGTGTAGCAATCTTATTTCTTGACAGATACTTAAAATGTACACTTTTCAACAAAAATTATGAAGATGCAAATTATGACGTATGGCCCAAACATGGGAAGAAAGTCTTAATAGAAACTGTCCCTGAGGATGCCCAGATGTTGGATTTACTAGACAAAAACTTTTGTGAATTTACAGCTATTGTAAATATGTACAAAGAACTAAAAAAAAATAGGTGTAAAGAAGTACAGGAAAGTATTAATAATGCTGCCTCACCAAATACAGATATCAATAAAGGGAAATTATAACAAGGAACCAAATAGAAATTTTGGAGTATGAAGCTATAGAAAAATAGATTTGGCCTTCTTCAAAATTAAAAATTTTTGTGCATCAAAGGACACTAACAAGAAAGTGAAAAGACACCCAAAGAATGAGGGGGGGGAGTATGTGCAAATAATATATATTATAGGATCTAGTTTTGAGATTGTAGAGAACTCTTACAACTCAATAATAAAAAGACAACCCATTTTATAAATGGGAAATGATTTGAACTGATATTTCTCCAACTAAGATATACAAATGGCCAATAAGGACATGAAAAGATACTCAACATCATCAGCCATTAGGGAAATGCAAATCTAAACTACAGTGAGATACCACTTCACACCTCTAGGATGACTGAAATAAAAAAGGGGACAATAACAAGTCTTGGGGAGGATGTGGAGAAATTAAAACTTTCATATGTTGTTAGCAGAAATGTAAAATAGTGCAGCCACTCTGGAAAACAATTTGGCGCTTTCTAAAAATGTTAAATATGGAGTTATAATTCTATTCCTAGGTATGTACCAAAGGTAATTGAAAATATTTGTCTGCACAAAAACTTGGACATGAATGTTTATAGCAGCATTATTCATAATAGTCAAAAGGTGGAAACCACTCTAATGTCCATCAACTGATGCATAGATAGACAAAATGTGCTACATCTACATAATAGAATATTATTCAGCCATAAAAAACAATTAAATACTGATACATGCTACAATGTTAATGAGCTTTGAAAACATAAGTGAAAGAAGCCAGATATAGGAGGCCACATACTGTAGGATTCTATGTATATCAAATGTCTGTAATAGGCAAATCCATAGTGATAGAAAGTACATTTGGTTCCTAGGGGCTGTGAAGAGGAGGGAATGGAGAATGACTACTAATGAGTACAGTTTCTTTCTGGGGAGATGAAAATGTTCTGGAATTAGATAATAGTTATAGTTGCACAGCCTTGTGATAGGGTAAAAACCACTGAATGTTACCCTTTACATGTTATGTGTATTATCTCTCAATAAAAAATATTTTGTTGGCAGGGCACGATGCTCATGCCTATAATCCTAGCACTCTGGGAGGCTGAGGTGGGTGGATTGCTCAAGGTCAGGAGTTTGAAATCAGCCTGAGCAAGAGCAAGACCCCCATCTCTACTAAAAATAGAAAGAAATTAATTGGCCAACTAAAAATATATAGAAAAAATTAACCAGGCATGGTGGCGCATGCCTGTAGTCCCAGCTACTAGGGAGGCTGAGGCAGAAGGATCGCTAAAGCCCAAGAGTTTGAGGTTGCTGTGAGCTAGGCTGATGCCACGGCACTCTAGCCCGGGCAACAGAGTGAGACTCTGTCTCAAAAAAAAACACCAAAAAACAAAAACAACAACAACAGAAAATATTTTGTAATCCATGGAAAATGTGTCAATATGGCAAGCACATGAGCTGATTTTAAATATGTTTAGGTCACTTGCCGCTGCCCTGCTTTTGTCCGCTTTCTACTGCTTGAGAGTCTGCCTGTTTATGTTCTCTCTGTTCATCTGTCTCTGTCTCTTTTGTTCCTTTCAACTGTGGCCTACCCTTTCTACTATAACTTCTTTGACAACCTCTACTAGCATCATATGAAAGTCCCTGTGAGGTAGGAATCTTGAAAATAAAATTTCCCTCTGAGAATTAAACTCTACCAACGCAGTTGATTAAAGTGGAGATATGGCCGGGCAGGGTGGCTCACGCCTGTAACCCTAGCACTCTGGGAGGCCAAGGCGGGCAGATTGCTCAAGGTCAGGAGTTCAAAACCAGCCTGAGCAAGAGCAAGACCCTGTCTCTACTATAAATAGAAAGAAATTAATTGGCCAGCTAATATATATAGAAAAAACTAGCCGGGCATGGTGGCGCATGCCTGTAGTCCCAGCTACTCGGGAGGCTGAGGCAGTAGGATCAGAGGCAGCAGGATTGCTTGAGCCCAGGAGTTTGAGGTTGCTGTGAGCTAAGCTGACGCCAGGGCACTCACTCTATCTGGGCAACAAAGTGAGACTCTGTCTCAAAAAAAAAAAAAAAAAAAGTGGAGATATATGAAATCTTTTTTACCAATCAGGGCCCTCCTGATCCTCAAATGTACGGTGTAATTTGACCCAACTTCAGGATACTAAAATTCCTTTCCCAAACTATCTGTGGGTGTTCTTTCTTATTTCTTTGTGACTACCCACCTCCTCCTGCTTTTGTCCTTGCTCTCTTTGTTGTGTTTCTATATCAGAGTTCATAAAAAGATCAACTTGAATAAAACATCTCATGAAGCCGGGCGTGGTGGCTCACGCCTGTAATCCTAGCACTTGGGGAGGCTGAGGTGGGCGGATCGCTCAAGGTCAGGAGTTCGAAACCAGCCTGAGCGAGACCCCGTCTCTACCAAAAATAGAAATAAATTAATTGACCAACTAAAAATATATATACAAAAAATTAGCCGGGCATGGTGGTGCATGCCTGTAGTCCCAGCTACTTGGGAGGCTGAGGCAGTAGGATCGCTGAGCCCCGGAGATTGAGGTTGCTGTGAGCCAGGCTGACGCCACAGCACTCACTCTAGCCTGGGCAACAAAGTGAGACTCTGTCTCAAAAAAAAAAAAAAAAAATCTCATGAATATAGTTGTTCTACTGAAGATTTGAGATGTCAAAGAGGAGGGATCACATTGTGCACTGCACAGCTTTCTGACATCCTGCTGTCCTGCCACCACTGCCAAGGCCTGCTCACCACTGTATATTTTGGGTACAGCTGCTGCCAGAATGGGCTGTTCGTTATAGTGAGTCTCTATAGAATTTTGGCAAATTGAATTTTCCTCATTTTATTTCACATCTTAAAGAATAGAATGACTCTTGGGTCAGAGAAAGGTAGTAACATACCTAAAAATATGTTAATCAAAAGGCAGATGGTTTAACTTAGAGGCCATTGTATGGCTACTTCTGATTGCAAGTAACACCAGCCAAATTGAGGTGGTTTAGGCAAAATAAAGGAAATTTGTTACAAGGCTATAAGGATGTCAGGACTATAACTGTCAAGGCTATAATTGGTCAGGATTCTTTGGTTGCAAGTGACTAACTCATGGTAGTTAAAACAAAAGGAAAATATTTTGGCTGACATACCTGAGGATTGAGCTATAACTTGATCCAGAACACTGTTCTACTTCTTAGCTTTACTTGACTTTGTTCTGCATACAGAGGCTTGGTATGTGGTAGGCAAGATGGTAATTCTAAACTCATACTTTAGCCACCAATTTCTCACTCCCGTCAACCTTAATCCAAACCTCAGGAAGACTTTAATTGATCCTGGAAGCTTGTCTTTCAGTATCTTTCTCTCTTTCTGGAGCCATGTGATTTTTTTTCTTTCTTTCTCTCTAATTCTCTTTCATTCTTCTCCTAATAAAAATAGTAAAAATAATAATAGCTAATATTTGTTGAAAACATATTGTGTAACAGGCACTATTCTAAATTGTTTACATATATTACTTTAGTTCTCACACAAACCATATAAAATAAGTACTGTTATTAACCCCCATTTTGCAATTAAGGAAACAGAAGAGTTAAATAATGTTGTCTAGGTTCACGCAGTTAGTATATGGTATGTTCAGAAAAAGTCCAGGTAGTCTGACTCCAGAATCCACATTCTTACCCACTGTGCTATCCTAGCTTTGTTATTTATGCCTGTGGCTACCCATCATTTTTCAAATGCCTTTCCTATTTTGGTGAATTTCCTTCCTTACAAGTCCTACCTCCTTAAGGTAGAATGCAGACTTCATCTTTTTAGCCTGTCTTACAGCTAAAGTGAAAGCACTGGACCAGGACTAAGTCAGAATCTTTACATATGCCAGATTTATAATCTGAAGAGAGCAGTATATGGAAGCAAACAGCATGTTGAATCAATTCTTTGGAGAAAATGGCATCAAAAGTGTACCAATTTCAGAGGCAACAGTGGTGAAGGTTCAGGTACATGGTATCTTGTGGTGATAGTATGGCTGCCCATCTGTCTTTCTTGCTTCCTAGTTCATATCTAGCTTGAGAGTCTTTTGGATGTCTCTCCCAGAAAAATAAGGAAAAACTTCTAAAAGTTCCAAGTATGAGGCCCCTTTGCTACCTGAGCTTCCGTCTCAGCTAGCTCGTGCAGGGCTGGGGCATCCAGCAAAAATAAAAAATAAAGGTTGCAAGTAAACCCTTTGTCCTATTTCTTTGCGTATTAGAAAAATAATTATTGGCAAGGGAGATGCAAGTATTCTTAAGCTAAATAGGCCCATCCTGGAACTGTAGTAATTTCTCCGAATTGTGTTGCTACTGCTCAGTGGGGAAGAGGTTGAATAGAGTCAATTACAATGCCTACAACCCCAAAAGATAAACATCTCCAAAGTTATCCATTTATAAACTGCCACCCTGTTAACTTTGAAAAATGCTTTTATAAAACATGTTAGGATAGATATTATTGATCTCAGTTTTAAAGATGAAGATACCAAGATTCCAAGAAGTTAAATGACTTGCCTAAGTTTATACAGTAAGGAAATGACCAATCAAGGACTCCAATGTATGTCTTCTGATTTCAAGGCCTTGTAGTTTTTTCATTTAATCCTAGCTGTTCTTGAGATAACAAGAATAAATTAAATAATTGAAACAATTTCCAGGTAACAAGTTCCAGGTTTAGAAATTTCTGAGAAAAAAATGTCACTGAAACTCTTCTTGAAAGTCTTTAATAATCATTGTTTAAAACTTATTAGAAATAAGAAACAGTCAAGAAGATCAAGTTCCATATCCACCTCTTCTACCCAGCAAAGTAGATCTCCAGCAGGTGACCATAATTCCACATGATGAATGGAAAAGGATTCAAGATAGCCTAGACAGTTTGACAAGAGAAGCAGCACGTCTTCGTGCAGAAAGAAAGGCAAAGAAAGAAATGCATTTTCGATCCCAAGAAGTGGTGAAACATTGGACTAATACATATGCAGTAAGTATTAACTATGCAGGTGTACACATGCACTAAAGATTTACTCTTGTTTCTTAGTACTCTCTTATACTTCTTTTATAATTATTTATACATGTAAAATATCATAAAATACATTGAAACACATTTTAATAACTTTATTTAGGTATAAGTGACATGCAATAAATTGGATATATTTGAAGTGTACAATTTGATAAGTTTTGACATATGTATACTCCCCCAAAACCGTCATTACATTTAAGATAATGAACAAGTTTATCCTCCAGAAGTTTTCTCATGCCTGTTTTACTCATTCTCACTCCTCCCTGTCCCTCCTCCACCCCATTCTTAGGCAACCACTGATCTGCTTCCTATTATTATAGATATTATTCAGCACAGTTACTTTGAAATTCATTCATGTTGTATGTGTCAATTGTTCATTCATTTTTATTGCTGAGCAGTATTCCATTGTACAAATATACCACAATTTGTATGTCTGGTCACTTGTTGATGGTTGACATTTTAGTTGTTTCCATTTTTTGGCCATTACGAATAAAGCTTCAATAAACACTGATGTGTACGTCTGTGTGTAGACATGCTTCTATTTCTCTTGGTAAATATCTTTGTGTAGCATGGCTGTCTTTTGATAAGTATATAATTTAACTTAGTAAGAAACTTCCTGTTTTTTAAAGTAATTGTCCTTTACATTCCCAACAGTTGTCTATGAGAGTTCTGTTTCTTCTGCATTTTTACCAACACTTGGTATAGACAATCTTTTTAATTGTGGACATTCTAATAGGTGTGAAATATCTCATTATAGTTTTAATTTAAATTTCTGTAATTAAATCAATTTCTCTAGAGAAATTTAAATTTAATTTCTCTAATTAAAAATGATGTACAGTGGATTTAGAATTCATGAAATTAAAAAAAATGATGTTGAACATCTTTTCATGAACTTTTCTACCAATATATCTTCTTTGGTGAAGTGTTTGTTCAAATCTTTAACCTATTTTAAAATTAGTTTTGTTTTATTATTGAGTTTAGAGAATTTAAAAAACATTCTAATACAAGTTCTTTATTAGGTTTTATAAAAAATATTTCCTCCCAGTCTGTGCCTTGAGTTTTCATTCCGTTACTGTGTCTTTTGAAGAGATGTGTTTAATTTTAGTAAAGTCTAGTTTATCAGTTTTTCTTATATGGATCATTCTTTCAGTGGCTTATCTAAGAAATCTTTACCTAGATCTTTACCTAGATCTAAGAAATCTTTACCAAGATCACAAAGATTTTTTCCTATGTTTTCTTCTAGGAGTTTTATTAGAATTTTAAGTTTCATATATAGGTCTGTGGGCCATTTTTAATTAATTTTTTATATGCAGTGAAGTATTGATTGATTTTGGGTTTTTTGTTGTTGTTGTGTTTGCATATAAATATCTAATTATTCCACAATAATTTGTTGAAAAGACTATTCTTTCTTCACTGAATTGCCTTAGTACTTCTGTTGAAAATCTAGTTGTCTATCTGTATACATGTGGAGGAAATTCTGAACTCGCTTTTCTGTTTCATGGACCTATTCATCATTACTCCAACAATACACTGTTTTGATAACTATAGATTCAATTGATCTTGAAATCAGGTAGTATCAGTCTTCAGCTTTGTTCTTTTTCTAAGTTGTTTTGACTATTCTGGGTCTTTTGTACTTCCTTATAAATTTTAGAATCAGTTTGTTAATTCCTATGAAAAAGCCAGCTGGGATTTTGATTGGGATTATGTTGAATCTCTACATCCCAATATCAGTTATTGAATTCCCATCCTTTCTTTTTTGATTTGCAATGACATTTATGTCATATGTCAAGTTCCTATAAATAACATGGGTTTCTTTTTATTTTAATTCTCTTTGAAGACATTTCTAGTTGTCACAACATGGGTTTGTTTCTAGCCTATCATTCTGTTAAATTTCTGTGCCTATACCACAGTTTTAACTAGTAGGAGTTTATAGTAAATCTTGCTGCTGGTAAGATGAATCTTCATTTATTCTTCTTTAATACCTGTGGAGGTATAAATCACTATGTGTGGTATGCTACTAATGTATAAGAAAAATAGACTCTATATCCTATATCCTTCAATTCCTTTATGTACCAGGGGCTTTTTAAAAACCAAGTTTTTTAGATTATAATTTACATATGTCCTTTTAGTGTACAGTTTACAAATACTTACAGTCACTTATAGAACAATACCATGCTCCCCCAAAACTCCCTCAGACCCTGTTATATAGCCAACTACTCCTCTACCTGTTGTCCCTGACAGCCAGTAATCTGTTTTCTTTCCCTATAGTTTTGCCTTTTTGAGAATGTAATATGGTATATATATGTTATTAGATATGACATCATTGTTCCCTCTTCTAGAAAAGAAAAGAATTAATAAATTATGAACATTGTTCTTAAAGCAAGGTACCACAAGCTTTCTATTAATATTCCTTCCCAAAGATAAACAATGTATATCACAACAAAGGAAACATGCAATGTTTTAAAAAAAAGCAAGGACTCTCTAAATAGAACTTATGCTTATCTGTAGTTGTAATGTTTTTATTATAAAATAAAAAATAACCCTGTCTCTCAGTGCCTCAAACAATGGAGGAAAGTGAAAAGGGCAAGTAAGGATTACTTTTCACAGCACTTCTCCCCCAAGTGAGATAATAAAAGGAGTCAGGGAATACACCTCCCCACTTCAAAGTAGTTTCTCATTCATGCATATGGGACTAAACTGGACTATTTTATCTCTCAGGTAGAGGGAAGCTAGCAGAAGGACAGAGGAGCACAGCAAAAACATTATATAGTTCCAGAGAGAAAGAAACAAACAGACAGATAAATCAGGGGCAAAAATAAAGAGAAGCCGCTTTAGTTTCTGATAGTTTCAAGTACTCTCTGTTCTCCTGTGCAATCCTGCATCACAACAATAAACAGTATTACTCTGATACCAAAACCAGACAAAGACATTTCAGAAAAACTGTAGGCAATATCCCTCATGAACACAGACAAAAATATTAATAACATTTTAGCAAATTAAATGCATCAAAAGAATGATACATGATGACCAATGGGAGTTTATCTGAGGAGTGAAAGCTTGGTTTACTATTTGAAAATCAATCAATGTAATTCACAGTCTTAACAAACTAGAAAATAAAAACCTCATAATTATCTCAATAGACACCCAAAAAAGCATTTAAAAAATCCAATATTCATTCCTGATTTTAAAAGAACCAAAATACTAAACAATGTATGGACAGATGATAACTTCAACTTGATCAGGGGCAGCTACAAAAACCTGACACTTAGTATTATACTTGAAGGTGAAAGAATGAATACTTTCCCCCTAAAATCAGGAAAAAGGCAAAAATGTACACTTTGACTACATTTATTCAACATTGTATTGGAAGTTTTACTTAATGCAATAAATC